TTCTGCTACCCCTTGTAAGCCAAGCAAGGGACAGAAATACTTTTTCACTTTTTACAAGCAAATTTTGTAAAAGAGGAAATGTCTCTTTTAAAGCTCATTTGGCTGCTCCTGGCTATTTGAGGAGCGTTTTCCAAAGCAAAGATCCCAAAAGACACAGCTGCTTTCACAATTCAAAATCGGGGCTTTTCTAAAGTGTTTTTGTGTATTTTAAACACTTTTTAAAACACTTTTTTCATGGATTGGACTGGATTTCAGAAGTTGTATTATAAAGTAGGAAGGAACAAAAAAGAAAAAAATGTTTTAATCAATACCTCATACCAGAAACCAAATGCTAATTCTCATTTTTATCATTTAGTAAAATGTCCTTATCTGAAAATGTGTAACCTAATATGAATTTTGTTTCAGCCTCTGTATTGAAACAAGTGTTAATTGCATAAATCTTGAGTATATTTAATTTTTCTCCTATCCTTTTTTCCCAGTTTCTTAGAAAGTATTGATTTATTTTGAACATAGATTTGTAAGTTTGTTCTTTTTTCATGGAAAAACTAAAAGAAAAGTCATCAGATTGAATAAGATCAGCACCATCTCTCCTGTGGTTTTCCAGAACTTTAAAGATAATGTTTTTGTCTCTTTAGGCAATACTTCACCTTTTTAAACAAATAACTACCCATTTAATTCATGCAAAATGGATACCTGTAATTTGGACATTGTTAATCACTGAATTAAAAGTAGAAGATACCACAGAAATAATTTTTAAGTGACAAATGTACCTGAGCATAGTTTATTGGAAACAATGGAACTCAGTAAAGCAAAGCCACTATATTTGAACAATAAATAAATATTTTAAATTTCCCTGGATATGGTCCCTACGTAATACCTCGTTTAGTGACAGTTTCCCAAAACACCTGCCCAGATGCCTCTCTAGACACCAATTTAGAGGAAAAAGAACCAGTTCCAGGCACCTCAGAGGGAGCTGTGGAGGAATGTCCAAAGGTTGCCAGAAGCTCCAAATCAGTAGCAATGAAGTTGAGCATTGCGGAGCAATTGCAGGAGAGAGTGACTGGACAAGTGGCTGGCTGATCTAGGATAGAAGGGATACATCTGTAGCTGGAAAACCCACAGTCTTCAGGAGGACAGAGCACACAGCTGCAGCTGGCCAGTAGAGATAAGGAAGAACTGCCTCCATCTGATCCAAGAGCCCTGAGAGCGAGAGGAGCCAGGCATAATGAAGGTCAGGCAGGCTAAAGTACTTGTGCTCTCCCTCTTGATGGCCTGCAGCGGGCAGCAGCTATTTAGTTCAATGAGTGGAGTGAAACAACACTGGGAACAACACGTCCATTTCCTTGCCTTGTATTTGTCAGCCACTGTGTTTCTTGCCTTGAATCTTGTTTCCTGACTTGGACTGGGTACTGTGGACCCTGGGTTGTGCCTTGACCTCTGGGCTCCATGGATTTTGCCCTTGCTTCATGCTTAGCCTTGCCTCTGCCTTCTGGATTTGTCTTGACTTGTGGACTCCTGCTGGGTTCATTCCTGGACTGAACTGTGAACTCTTGGGAGTTTCTGTGGTTGTTGGCATGGGAATTTCTGGAGAAGACTATTCTGGATTTGGAAAGCCTCCAGTAAAACCTTAACCCCACCTATGAAGTGTCTGTATACAAGCAGGATCAGGATACTTATCTTAATGGCTGGTATTTCCATTTAAACTGCACCGAAGAGCCAAATTAGGAGCTAGTTTTCATCTGGTTGGTCTATTGCCTAATGGTCATGTTGCTGCTGCTGGCAGTATTCATAGGACTCCTGGATCTGGACCGCAAAACATCCAAAAGATACAGGAAATGATTGTTACTAATTCCTACCTAATGATGGAATTTTTATAAGTCAGAACTTTTAGTCCTTTTATATGAAAGCTGGATGTAGCAATAGCAATAGCACTTAGACTTACATACAGCTTCACAGTATTTTACAGCCCTCTCTAAGCAGTTTACAGAGTCAGCATATTGCCCATAACAAGTTGGGTCCTCATTTTACTGACCTTGGAAAGATGGAAGGCTGAGCCTGGTGAGATTCGAACTGCCAAACTGCTGGCAATTGTAACAGAAGTAGCCTGGAGTATTGCATTCTAGCCACTGTACCACCACGCCTCTCAGTTCTTCAAAATATTGTGGCACAGAGGATGTCCTACAATTTCCACAAACTGTATTAGCACAACTTGATAAATTATTAAACTTGAGAATACATATGTCAACCTTCGTGCTGACATTCGCGGGGTAGCTGTTGGTGGCTTTTCGTGGTGCCGCTACCTCCTGACCTTGGCGAGGGCTTCTATACCACCATCACTGCTGCCAACAGCATACCTGCCCAGGCGCTGCCAATGCCACACCTGCTCAGACATGCTTACATGCCACCAGTGCGCCACTACCGCTAACACTGCTGGGGCAACCACGAACCCCTCCTCTCTCTGATGTTGGTGGAGCCTGTAGCTGCATGCAGCTCTACATGGCTTCCCTCACAACTCTGCAAGCATGCCTTCTGGACAACAGCTGCACTTCAGAGCCTTCTTTCAAGTAACTCTTCTACTCGGGTGCAACTGCCTACTCTGAAGTAACTCCTCTACTCGAGTGTGGCAGATAAGGGAGGAGGCAATGATGACACTGAGTGGGGGTGTGGCTGAGGGTGCTGGTGATTGGTGCTGGTGATTAGGGTGTCATCTGGGTAGATTTGTGGGTGGAGCTGGGCAGGGTAATGATATTTATATGGTAATGGTGTTAACTTTGTTAGAACTGACTTGGATTTGCTTACCTTTGTATCATAGTCATTTAGTGCTGGTTATCACGTAGTTTCTTAGATAGAGATAAAGTTCTTCACCAAACAAACTGACTCTGTTTATTTTCAACGTGAACTCCAGAACGTGACAACATACATGTTCATTGACTGCTTACTTTGAGAAACAATTGAAATAATCATCTATAGTTAATTTACTGTTTAGGCATCATGTGAACAATTATCACATTATATAGATCTGAAATTATGAAATGATACAAACAACTAAAGACAACACATATAATACAGGTTGAGGTATTTTAATAAGCAACAATGGAATAGCAGTGTCATTTGCTGGCATTGCTTTCATACAAAATTTGTATTTTCTTGAAATGGTTTTTCAATTTTTGTAGATTTTAATATTTCTGTAAATTGTGATGACTGATAATGTTTTGACTCTCTTTAGCCATTTCTTCTTCAGTAGCAAAATAATAAAATAAACTATTTGTGTTATGGTCATATATATAAATTGTAGAGTTCAAGGAAGATTGTGACGATTGTTGCCCTGAAGACATATTTTTAATATGTGAAATTACAATGAAAATAATGAATTACTAAGATTGCTATCTAAATGTATATTAAAAGCAATTAGAAAGAAGGAATAATATCTCCCCCCACCCACATTTAGAAAAGTTCTAATTTTTCAATCACCTATGAGAATCAGTCAGGATGGGCAAAATCCAATGCTAGCAAATTTGAGCCATTTGTTGATAGGTGTGTGTTTTCATTTCAATCTAGGGGAATGTGTGTGTGAGAGAGGGGGGGAGCAAGGGAATGAGAGAGAGGGAGGGAGGGAGAGAAAGAAAAATAACGAAAGAAAGAGAAAGAAAGAAAGAAAGAAAGAAAGAAAGAAAGAAGAAAGAAAGAAAGAAAGAAAGAAAAGAAAGAAAGAAAGAACTACAACTTTTGCAGGACTCCATGGCATACTCTGCCTAATAAGTAGAAAGAACTATAGTGGACCACTTCTAAAATTCTTTGTACAACTGTTAAAATTGCATAGAAGTGCACATTTCCATAACTAAATCCTAGAGTGAAACTGATTGAATTTGGATCTATAAAGAAACGGTATTTATATTATTTTGGAACTCAATGCAATCCAAAGAAGAAATCTTTGAGAATAGGAAACATTAAAAGCAGCGATTGAAAATGAAAGTGAATACCTGTTTTCAAGGTTTTCTTTTTAAAATGTCTATCTTTTTTATTTCCAGTTCCAAATTTGGTGTGAGGGGAGACCCTATTTGATGTGGGGAGGAAGGGAAAGATGGCAGTGGTGGGATTTAGCCAGTTTGCACCACTTCTGGAGAACTGGTTGTTAACATTCTGAGCACTTTGGTGAACTGGTTGATGGAAGAAATCATTAGGGCAGAGAACCGGTTGTTAAATTATTTAAATCCCACTACTGGAAGATTGGGGCGGGGGGGAGGGAGTTAAAAAATTGACCTAGCCTTTTTCCTAGCCAGGGATGGTAGAGAAAAAAAAATCAGAAAAATATTGCTTAATCTATCCTTGTAACCCTATTGGGCACATCCCAGAATGCTGTTGATTGTGTAATGCTAGCTTCTTCTGTCTGCTCCCAGATTAGAGTATATGCAGGTCACCCTCTTTTTCAACACACAAAAACCCACCCAGATATAACATAACCAGGAACATAGGAGGAAAGGGAAAGTAGAAACATATCCAGAGATGCAGCTTATTATTACTTTGCAACCCAGAAACAGGACACTGGGATGACTACCAGAACTTGTTAAACATCTAGTTCGGCAATTCAGACTACAGTACCAATTGCAGCATTTTGATATTGTGCAATTTCTGAAAGTTTGGAGTAGTCAATAATATATTCCGTGTTCCAGTTAATAGTTTATTTTGCATTTTTTGTTTTCATGGACTTAGTTCAAGCAAAATTCAAAATGGTGGTGGTGGGGTGTTTGTTTCTCTTTGTTTTAATAAGCAGGATTTGAGAATTAAACAATTCTTCCATGGAAAACTATGCAGATGTTTTGATTATATTATGTTCCATTTTTTATTACTAACAGATACCTGGCTCTTAATTACATATCTGAAAAAGACAAAAGTCTAAGTCACTGAAAACATGTTTATACTTTATATAGACAATCTCTCCAAGTACTGGACTTGTTCTGATAATTGAGATTTTTTTGACCAAGGATTTAATTCCTTCACAGATGTGAATGAGTGTGAAGCTGAACCCTGCAAGAATGATGGTATTTGTACAGATCTGGTAGCTAACTATTCCTGTGAGTGCCCAGGTGAATTCATGGGGAGAAATTGTCAATATAGTAAGTATACCTTAAATACATATATTTCACTCTGATTCTTTTAGTGCTAGCATGCAGGTAGTACAAGTGAATATGTTACATCTATGAAAGAGGGTTAAAAAGCACAATATTTAAATGAAGATAACATAATGCTGCCTGAATTAATACTGTCTTTTTCAGCCAGATTTATAACTACCTTTTTAGAATAACTCAGCAGCTTTTTTTCCATTCCACTTTTTTAGTAGAATAATTTTTATAATCAGTTTCAATGTTCACACATTTCTGCATTTTCCCCTTATCTCTTTACTTTTTCCTCTGGTGAAAAAAAAGTAGATGATAGATGATAGANTGTGTGTGTGTGTATTTCATTCAGAGGTCCCAAAAATTCAGACCAAGTATTTTTTTAATTGTATTATTAGTATCTTTCAGTACAGAATGGGATTTCAATTGAATTTCAGCCTCATGCACATCTGAGGCCTCCTAGCACTTATTATTCTCTAGCTATTATCAGTGGAGATGTACTGAGAGCAGGACTCAAAGGAGATCCAGACTGTATAGATCTATTACTTTTACAGGGCAATTAATCTTGTTGACATTACTTATATAAATGTGGATTAAAATGCCTGGAAAGCATACTGTTGATTTCTATTGCTCATTAATATTGATCAAAGGTTGTTGTTCCCTTTTGTGTTAGAAGCTACTTAAAGATTATGTACAAAAGTGCTACTAAATTATTGTTTTTTTTAAAAAAGAAGAACCTGAAACTCAATGTGCTTTAAACTAAAACTACAAGAATACTTTGAAAACTTTCATAGTGCTTAATTAATAATATAAATCAAATTAAAATTATGGTGTCATGTTTCTATATTTTGACTAATATTTGTCATATTTATTGTGCATAGTGTCTCCCACAATGAAAGTTCACTACTGGTCAAACTCCACATGTTACATTTCTATAATTGTGTAGAAATTACTATTTCTTGGTCAAAACTGCTATTATACATCAAAATAATTATAATTTATAAGCAGATATTTTCTTATTATATTAGGACAAGAAATTTAATAATGCATATTAAAGTACTCATCCTAAAAACCCTAATCTATATGCAGCTCAGGTTTTGGGTACATTCCCAACAGTGTCTCCCAAAGTTGTCACAAAAATTCTCATTTTTAATATGACAGAAGATGAATATATACAGTACATAAGGTGCTGGCCTAACCATACTCTTAATTAATTTTAATCAGCCTTACATTTGGTCCTTTTTAAAGTGTGATCCTGATTTGCTACTTAAGGGCCAAGTGAGACCTACAATTGTGCATTCCTGGTGTATATTCATTTATTTGTTTGTCTATTTGTTTGTTTCAGAGGTGGTATTCAGCAGGTTCTGACCAGTTCTGTAGAACCGGTAGTGAAAATCTTTAGTAGTTCGGAGAACTGGTAAATACCACCTCTGACTGCCCCAACCCCCATCTATTCTCTGCCTCCCAAGTCCCAGCTGATCAGGAGAAAATGGGGATTTTGCAGTAACCTTCCCCTGGAGTGAGGAGGCAATGGAGATTTTACAGTATCTTTCCCCTGTCATGCCATGCCCACCAAAAGGTAATAAAAAATTTGAATCCCACCACTGGTTTGTTTGTTGAATTTATTTGCTGCCCATCTCACCTAGCTACTCTAGGCAACTTTAAAGAGTTTAATTAATTATGTTTTTTAATTTGCATATTTGTATCACCTTTGTATCATCTTTATTAATCGGAAGGGAAAAATGAAAATATTTGTAAACAGAAGTAAAATAATAAAACAATAAAGTAGGTAATGACACAAGAACACAGTGAGAATAAATACATCAATATTAAGATAATATTAAAAGATGAAAGGGAGATAAAAGGAATGACTGACAGGCTCTGAACAGCCTGTTAGGCATGTAAGAATCTATAGAACATAGGAATACCTAATGCAAAATATTATCAGATTATCCTATTAAAACAAGAAGTTAATGAAAAGGAAAAGCTGTCTCTCATAGGGTGAGATTATTGGTAATGCTAATTTATTTGTAAGCCAGCCTTGGGCCTCAAAAAAAGAAATCTGAAGAGGAGTTTCCTGATGGAATTTATCATTTGTTATGTTGTAATAAAAAGAGGCTTAAATCTAAGGAATAAACAAACCTTGTTTTGGCATGGCAAGGCATAGTTTTAAAAACAGTCTGCATATTTTTATTGCCTCTTTCAACAAAATTTTCATGATGTACAGTAATTTGCCTTTCACAATTCCTAATTTCCCTAAAATGCTCTTTCTCCCTCCACCCCCAAACACACAAATCTGGAAGATTGACAAACTATCCATGAATAGATTGGTGTAATTCTTATGACAAATAGTACATGCAAACATTATCAAAATGCTACATTCACAGAATGGTAAATTTTGTATTAGTTGTGGGGAAAAGTATCTACTATATTTGGATAATGCCCTCTCTAGAAACATACTGGGTAGAATTACAGAAGCATGAAGCTAATAAAACAATTATTTATTATCTTTATTTATCTGGTTTGTAGATTTTGCCAATCAAAATAGACTCAGGTTCTATTGAAAAAATGAACATTAAAAAATATAATCAAATTCATTAAAATGTAGCCTAATAATACAATCAGTACTAATACAATTAGTTGGCGAGCAACAATCAAACTAAAAGCTGAGAAAGTGTTTGGATAAAATGGTTGTCAGACCCTTTCAGATTGCAAGAATGGTTGGGGTCCAGGTATACCTTCAGGGACCATATAATCAAGGTATGGAACCTATTACTGAAAAGGCCTAGAAAAGCATGTGGAAAACTTTTAAATTTAAATTTAAAGAATTCCAATACATCCCAGGAGGAGGGAGGGGAATTGCTCAGAAAAATGATGGTAAATCCTATCTCCTGAGCCATGGTAGCTCAGTGGTTAGACTGCAGTATTGCAGGCTAACTCTGCTGACTGCCAACAATTCAGTTCTCACCGGTTCAAGGTTGACTCAGCCTTCCATCCTTCTGAAGTTAGTAAAATGAGGACCAAGATCATTGGGGGCAATATGCTGACTCTGTAAACTGCTTAGAGAGGGCTATAAGTCTAAGTGCTCTTGCTATTGATATATTGGGAACTAGCATCTGGAAAACTATAAATGAATATTCACTTATAATATAAATGTAGATTTATTGCTATTATATCTAAAGAAAGAGCGGTTCATTTGAAATTTATTATACAGTTAAGATAGCCTTTTGATTAATCTGTAGCAGCAGCTAATAGTCCTGTCCTTTCCATTCTAACTCATTTTCTTCATTTATCTATATCCAAACATTACTGTATCTAGCAATGTGTATAGTGGAGACAAATTCCTTTTAATTTTAACCTAACCCTATAAAAATTGCAGATATAATGCAAATGCTACATCTTTATCCTGTTTCTGCAATGTCATTTTTACCTTTTAATAATATTTAAATGTTACTTATTCCTGTTTAGATGATTTACAAACCTTCACACAAGATTAGATGTATGATTTCTTTTCATATTTATATATACTTTGTTTCCCTGAAAATACAACCTACCCTGAAAACAAGCCCTAGCCTGATTTTCAGGCCTGCGTCTACTATAAACCCTACCCCAAAAGTAAGTTCTAGTTAAGCCCTGTCCTCCTTCTGGTTGTAGGAGGTGGGGTGAGGTGCAGGCATAAAAATTAAGCTAGGGAGGGTAGCTACCCCATGTGCCTTACCTTAGGACTGCCGCAGCCACGCCTCCTTGCCCTGACATCTGTCACACCACTGCCCAACTTCTTCTGCAGCTGCTTGCAGCCGCTCAGAACTGGATGCCATGTGGCGCATCACCCCGATACCATCACTCGCCACAGAACACCGCAAGGCTCATTTAGTGGCAGTACTGGCTTGACAAGCCTTGTAATGTCATGCTGCAAGCAGCAGCATCGGTGCAATGAGCCACACAGTGTCTGACCACAAATGGCTACAGAGGAAGTTGAGTAGCAGTGCAGCAAGTATCGGGGCATGGGAGGCCTGGCTGCAGTGGTCCTAAAATAAGCTGGTAAGACAGCCCCCCAAAATAAGACCTGGTGATTATTTTGAGACTGAAAAATAAGGGAAAAACGGGAGTGCTATACTTTATATGTTTCTTTGACAATGAATTTTAACAATGTTGAATTCTGAATCAATGCACCTAAAGTGTCAACAGTCTTTTTATAAAGAAAACTGCAAACCATTTTAGATTATGAAAAATGTGCAATTCTTGAACATTCCGGTCACTTTACTTAACAATAAACTGGTAAGAAATATTTATAACAATTAGAGATTTTAAATAAACTTTTTTTAAAAAAAGCCCTTCTGATTTTCAGAGAATAGGGCTTAATTTTCTAAACAGAGAACATAGTTGTAAGCCACCTAGTCTCATTGATTGAGATCGGTAGCCATAGAAATTGAATGACTGAATGAATGAGTGACTAAATAAATAAATAAATAATGGCTGTTGTTGAGGGTTCCTTTTATATTTTCAAGCATGCAGTCACTTTGTAAACATCTAAAACTATTGGTTGCCAAAATATCCAGCTAAAGTTATGATTTATCATTAAGAATAACTGGGGAAATGTTAAAATTTTTAACACAAGTTTGGCATAGCCGTTAAGGTGCTGAGCTAGAAACTGGAGGGCTGTAAGTCACTGTCCTCCTTTAGGCATGATGACATTTTGATGAAGAATAAGAGAATAGGATTAAATAAGGAATCTTTTTCATGAAATGTTACTAAATATAGTAAGAGCAATAAGAGCAATAGATGATGAAAGAAATGCACAGATGAGAGTCATGCAATGTTCCTTTGGTTACTCAATATATTTATAAATAAATATGCATTCAGTGCTTTGCTGGCATTAGAAGTAAGGTGGTTAGAGATATGAATGAAGATATACTTTTGTATTCAGAAAACATTGCCTTATTGGCTGACTATCTGAATAATTTATTGCAAGTGCTGGTTAGATGAATAGAGATCTGAAA